ATCACCCACGAAGACACATCTGTTTCGGAAGAATGGTTACGCGTAATCCAAATCCGTTTTACTGTAGTAATACTGTAAGAATAGCAAAATAGCGAATAGCCTCGAAGATGTAGCGAAGATGTAGCAAAAATGAGACTCACAGTCGTAGGTAAGTAAGTATGTAGTGGCTTGGCTATCCTATGACAAAAATAATATTAGTACATAGTCTGTCAGTGGATAGTCCAACGCCAACGAGTTAGTTCGAGGGAAAAGAGAATTCAAACGACCATGGTATCTACGCAAATACGATGTGTAAGGAGACAGAGGAGCAACCACGTTACACCGGCAAGAGGGAAACCAAACCTGTGTAGATTGCCATGGCCGTACGCATGAATAAATATATAGTAGTGGTGGGTCTGAACTATAGATTGGAATAGCGTAAAAAAAAACAAGAGAAATGAAGGTGGAAGGCGACGACGACGACGACGATAATGATGATCTGGACCGACTAGAGCATAAAAAAGTAAAACAAAAACAACAGAGAAAACTTGAAAGAGAGAGAGAGACCAGGTCCCATGAAAAAATCATAGAAATCATTACACCTTCCTACTCCTCTTCTTCCTCCTCGTCCTCCTCCATAATCTGCTTGAACGCAGGTCCAGAGGATCTTCCCGCAGGAAGCTGCCTCCTCCCCCCTCGCGTCTCTGGAATCGGAATCTCATACGTGTCGCGATCGCTTGACACAGGAGATGCACGCTCACCAGGAGAGGCTTTCCGATTATTCGCAGCAGTACCAGTACCACCACTACCACCTTTCCCACTTCTCTTTCCAGCACTTGATTTTCTCGGCGCTGAGCCTGCCATGGCCAGCATCTCCCCATGGCCATCCGAGTTGGCGTTGGCACCAGAACCGAGCCCCGCCCCCAGCCGTCATCTGACCCAACCCCCCAGCATACGGCACATCTTCATCTTCATCCACCCAATCACTCTCGTCCCCCAAGCCCAGACTCAACGACACCTTCCCCGGACCCGAAAACACATCCCTCAAACTCGTACCCTCCGAAGGCGAGATAGTCAACACCTCCACGGGTAAATGACCCTGTCCAGCCCCACGAGTCTGCCACCCAGGCGGTTCCAACCCCCACGCCTTCTTCCAACTCGATCGGCTTAGGCTCCCACTATAGCCATAGGTATACCCGTACCCGTACCCAGGACTAGCAAAAGGCCCCTGCCGTTTCTGCGCTACAAACGTCGGGCGCCGTGGCGTCTGCGTCGGCTCGTCCAACGACGACCGACGCATCCTGTACGGGGACGCCGTTCGAACTGCACTACCACCACCACCACTTTCGTAATCAGAATTATACTCTATAAACGAAGTCGGCCTCGACGACGGCGGAGAGTGGATCGATGATGTCGTCGAGTTTGAGCGTACATGGCGACCAGAAGCGGAGGATGGTCGACCAGAATTGGACGGTGTACCAGGCTGCCTTACTACTCTCGTAGTCGAAGACGATCCCGAGCCACCTCTCCGATGATACCTCGTTTGCATCGGTGACGTCGTACGCGGATAATGCTGATGCTGTACGGACCCAGTCGAGCTAACTGACGGACTCTTCCGATGTCTCTGCTGCTGCTGCATCGAAAAACTCCGAATCGACGAAGGTCGGGAAGACGAATTCCCCGCATAAGGATAATACTCCCGATCTGAATTCGGCGTATGACTCCCATTCCCAAACGACCTCCTTCCCGCACCGGCACCCTGGGCATGGGGTGAATCTAGCAACACCATCTGCACCGAAGTGACGCTAGTCCTCGAGTTGACACTACTTGACCTACGGGATGATATTGATGGTCTCTGGGGTCGACGACCACCTCGTCGGCCGGTACCAGCAATCCCAGTACCTGAACCTGAATTCCCAGAGCTAGTTCGGCGTTTAACGTTCGTCGTACTGTATCCTTGCCCAGACCCAGATGATCCGGTTCTACTATTGGGAGGAGGCAGATTATGATTATGATCACCCTTCCGCTTTCCCTTCCTATCCTCCTGGAACCACAGCCGAAACGCCGTCAATAAATTGGCTCGATTACGGTGTGAAGACGACGAGGAGGATTTGCCAACTGAGTTGGGGTTGGGATTTGCTGCACCACCGCCATTGGAGTTGTTGGCATCGAGATTCGACAACGTGGACAAAGAGGTAGATGTAAGAAACGGATCGGCACCAGCTCCAGGTGAATTCGCTGGCGTAGGCGCGGCTGCGCTTATGCGTGACGATGCAGATTGAGGAGGCGGGGAGGACGAATCTCTTCTTCTGTCACCATCATCAGCACCAGCAAGTATCCACGGAGACCCCATATGTGGCTGGGGATGATGCAGATGCAGCTCGCTGGGCGGTGGTGTCGATGGACCCTTGGGAGGAGGGGATTTTCCTCTCCAAGACGAGACGCTCCCACTCCCATGGGAGGACCTCGGACCATCCTCCGAGCTGCCTCCAGTCATCTTGCGTTCGTTCTCTCTCAATTTTTCCTTCTCTCCCCGTTCCTTTTCTTTTTCCTTCTCCCTCTCCTCCCGAAATGCCTCTGAAGACTTTTTCCTCACAAGCCCAGCGGCCTCAAGAGCCGTCGTGGCTCTTTGCATAATACTAACACTCCCAGAACGGTTCTTCCTCCCTTTCGAACCACCAGAGCTACTCCCAGGAGTTGTCGGGTGTGATGATATTATCATGGACGATGAGGGTGTCAACATTGGAGACGGAGACGGGGAAACGGCACGGGGTGGAGTGGACGTCCTAGGCGGGAACGTCGGTGTAGGAGGCACAAAAGCAAACTGAGGCGCGTGCACTAGGTTGAGCGGTTGCGGTTGTGGATCAGTTTGTGTTCCCATATTATGTTTCTTCCTCCTCCTTGATTGATGACGATGTTTACCCAGCTGTTCGTCGACGGTAGGGGACATGGCCCCATCAGTCCCAACGCCACTAAAGAGGCTCTCAGTACCCTCTTCTATAAGCTTCCTCTCTGCTCTCCGCTTCAGCATCCACCAGACGGCACTAGCTGCGTCACAAGCGTCGTTGAGTACGGAATATACGATCTGACCCAGATCGAATCCGAGTAGACTCATCATATTCAACAGCTCCCTTTCCAGAGGCGTAGAAAAGATGATAGGCGCTGGGGTGGTGAGGAGGGAAGAAAAGTTGAGATCGGCGTCGTCTTTCTGGGGTGTAGGTAGAGTAGTAGGCAGTGAAGGTTGTTGCTGCTCGTGTTCGTGTTCGGGGTCTGGGTCTGAGAGAGTTGAAGAGACAGAGCGCCGTTTGGTCCGTGCGGGAGTGCGCACGGTGTGTACGGGAGGAGCTGCAGAGCGTCCAGAGGAATTGGTTCGCTGGCGTTGGAGGCTTAATGGGATTTCGAGAGTGAGGTCGTCCTCTTCTGCTACGGTTTCGGGATGCTGGAGAGGTTTGGGGTCATGCTCAATGACCTTTCCAATAGTGGTTTCGCTAAGGTTAGAGTGGATTGTGGGTTTGGTTTCAAAGGGATCGCTGATGGAGTGGTCGGGAGTAGTGGGAGCGGATGTGCCAGAATCGAGAATCTGGCTAGATTCTGTGGTGGAGGCTTCTGAGGAGCGTGTGGAATCGGTGCTCGAAGAGAACCAGGGATGCTCGAGGATTTGAGCAATACTCAATCGCTTCGAGGGGTCCATTTGGAGAACGTTTTTGATTAAATCTCGAGCTTCTGTATACGCAGTCAGATAAATATCGATTGATGAATGCATCGATCCATACCTGACGACAGCCATTCGGGATCCTCAAACTCGCCCAAAATAACCTTTTCCCGCATAGCTTGTTCGTCGTCGTCGTCAAACGGCAGCATTCCAGTCAGAAGACAATAAAGAATAACACCTAGCGACCAAATGTCGACTTCTGCGCCGAAATATTTCTTGCCTTGCAGCATCTCTGGGGAAGCGTACCCGGTAGTGCCGCAAAACGTCTCCATTAACACCCTGCGTTCAAACTCGCGAGTGAAGCCAAAATCACCGAGCTTTACCCGGCACCTTTCATCCAACAGCACATTCTCCAACTTCAAATCACGATGCACAATACCTTTTTCGTGGAGATACGCTACCGCAAGACATAGCTGTCCGAACAAGAACCTGGTTTCGTCCTCGGAGAGGCGTCCTTTTTCTGCGAGATAATCGAAGAGCTCTCCCCCGGAACAGAGTTCTGTTACTATCCAAATCGACGACTCGGTTGCGATGACCTCGTACATTTGAGTGACGTGAGGATGGTGTAGCTGTCGATGATGGTGAATTTCCCGTGTAAGCGATGCAGACATGGCTTTTGGTATCTGCTTAATCGCTACGCGCGTTGATGTTAGGCGGTGTGTCCCCATGCGTACTTTGCCATAGGCACCTACAAACACCAAACACTGGGTTAGCTTCGGAACTTCCGGAGTCGGATCTATGTTGCTGCCGCACCTTCTCCGATAACCCGCCCAAGCGTATAGTTCCCTACAACCCGCACTTTGTGAGAAGACAGCTCCTTTCCCAATTCATTATAGGCATTCGCTAGATGCGCTTTTTGGTTTTGCGTGACCGATTCGGAATGTTTGTGTTTATGGCCGTGGACTGGCATGCAAGAAATATGAAACGTAAAGGAAAGACACTGGCTAAAGGCCGATTACAAGCAAGAAGAGCGGAGATTTGGGAGAACGTCGTAGTGGTCGATGAGCAAACAAAGTAATTTCGAAATCTACTGCATGTGGTGGCGTGAGATCAAATATCTACCCGAACTTTGCCCGAGTTCCGGTATAAACATGACCTGCAGCGATCGAATCGCTTGTAAAGCTGCCTGCTAAAATATAAATAAAATAAAATAAACAACACTCTTGCAAGTTCAACTAGCGTTATTTTCTTTGATTTTGCCTAATTCAGGACCTTGCAGCTCCGGTTAAGTAAATTTGTGTTCTCCAACATATGTATCAGAGCCAGAGAAAAGGAAAAAAAAATCACCAATTCCGAACTCACTGTACTATGACCACCGCAGGGGTCGAACCTGCAATCTCCTGATTACTTCAGTCTACTGTGGATCTCGTAGTCAGACGCGATGCCATTTCGCCAGGCGGCCATGTTTCATGAGGTAAAATCTCCATTAATTACTCTGATAATGCACCTCATTGTACTATACCCAGCACTCTACAGTCCACTTTTGCTGCATAGGCGTTGTGGCGTTGGCATTGGCACGCAATTTCCGGGAGCCTAAGCAATAAGTAAATAGTTCTCAGTCCAGTTTACCAGGAAGCATCGCCATCTAGAGCACAAATCAGTAGTAGTCACAGTCTCACCACTACATTGTCTTCTCCTCCTTCAGGCATTTTTTCCAGGCTATGCAAAGCCGACAAAGCACAAGAAAAGAATGAAAAGCTCCAGCTTGGTCACCGTTCCGAGTTCGAATCAACTCCAGTGCTCTAGCGCTGCTGCGCAGATTGCCAAGTTCTGAGTGGTACCGGTGTTCAGTGAGTCGATTTTCCCCACCGACTCTCGAGTACCACACTCAATCTACTATCCTAAAGATTCGACATGACTCGGAGCAACGGGGCTTGAGAAAGCGTCTCAACTTTCAAGGATCAAGGAGCTTGGAGTTTTATCCAATCCCGTCTCCTGCGAGCACCTGCAGAGTACTATACTCTTCTGACCAACTGTTCACAGATTTGGAAAAATACAAAATAAAAAATACCAAAAAAATCCGAAATTCGAGAAAAAATTAAATCCGATGTCCAATTATTTGGACGTGACGCGTGACTGAACAGTTGGTCGGAAGAGTACAGTAGTTAAAAGTTAAAACAGGAAGGTACCAATATATCGTTGATGTCTGGACCGCAAAAAAATCAAATTGATCAATAGATATAAGTACTTTGTTAATTCTTTTGCTTGCTATGTAACTATGTTCCTTGTACCTTGACACAGATGCGCTATCAATGTTTGCAGTGAGCAAGCAAAAGTTAATTTGATGCATTGGATGTCAAGCCCAACGTCAAATTGATACTTATAAGTACCGAGAACTTGGAGTATACTCTATTAATATCAACCTCCAAACCTCAAGAGATGACCGCCGTGTAGCTCGTCCTAATCAGAAGAAAAAAGAAGTCAGATAAACTCCTCTATAAAGCAGAATGTACACCAATGTACATGGTAAAAGTATCAGAGCCAGACGTAGCCTCTGTACCAGCCTGGAAAGTAGTGAGATACTGCGAGCTGCTGAGATCTTCATTATTGATCAAGTACTGTCACCACATGTCAGACTGCAGAAAAAGAATCGAGAGAAGACTTGCAGCAACTCACATCGAAAAACTCCATAACATTCGCGCTAAAGTCGGTGGTATAAGCAACGCCGTCGGCGAGCAAGAATGACCAAACGGCGTTCGAGCCATTGGAACCACTCTACAAGTCCCTGCAGTACTCATCAGCACACATGAACCTCCTTCCCAGTTTCTACCCTCAGAATGAGAGCATGTACCAAGTATACCCCTCAATCAAAATCCCACCAGCAATAGGCCCAGGCTCCCCATCGGCATTATACGTACACAAAATCGGACCAGACTAATAGTTCGCCATCCAGGTGATAATCTCATTTGTAGCCATTCCACCAGCAGTGTCGGCTGTGAACAGGTCATAGGTCACATTGCATACAGGTGTGGAGGTGCAGTTGATCGTCCAGACTCTGCAGGTAGTAGTAACATTTTATTGTGCTGGAAAAACAAAGGCATGCATACCTCGATACTACTAATAGCACTCAACTTCTGGTTAATACCACTCGTAAGCCCCACATTCGATAGTGAAACTCTTAATCCCTGTACTACCGACCCATTCCCAGGTGGTAGTCCAAGCAATAGTATCTACCTCGAGCGAGGTAATGAACGCATTATCCAGACGTCGCATCCGAAAGACCCCACTGGCCGAGGAAGAGCTCGTAGACTCTATCGGTGGTGTCGTATTGACCTAGGTACCAAAGTAGTGATTTGCGTTGAATAAAAGAGGAGATACTTGGGCACTCACCATAATACATTGTCCTCTCAATCTCAGTAGTCTCAACCTTCAGGAGCAGGAGCAGGAACAGCCAAAAACAACACAGACCGGGACAGCAAAGCGGTCAATTTCAACAGGGAGATCATTCTGATCCAAGGCTACAAGTGCACTACTGAGGTTGCCCTGCTCTTTTTATATACTCCGCCTGGATCATGGATAAACCCTTCCCTCCTAACCATCGATTCCGATAATTAGCCAGTGCACAGAACACTAGAGCATGGCGACGAGGAACACACTGGAAGGTACCAATGACCATGGTACTAGTAGTCGTGAAAAATGTGAAAAATACAAATTAAGCGCGGACGCGACGCGTCGCGGCCCGAGGGCCGAATATTCTGAAGACAAAGCTTAAGCTTAAGCTTGGAGAGGTGCAATCGAGCTCTGAGAGGATTTTTAGAAATATTTATATCGACAGAGATGAGTCAGTTTCGGAGTTTCAATAACGCATTCCGGGTTCGGATATTTCATCCGAGCTTCTCTTGAAGATAATAATACTAAATAGATCAACCTTGTAAGGTGGTTGATAAGCTTCGTTGACCTGACAAAATCAAAGAGTCAGTCAGGCGAAAATCCACTGGGTATAAGTAGCATCTGCTGCCAGATGTTTCCTCAAAGCTTCATTAAGCTCACGAAAACCTCATACTCAGCCGATGATTAAGTATCTGTGTTTTGCAGCGCGCCAGATACTGTCTCGTGCATGCAGCTGGGGTGTACACGGTCCCGTACATCGTGGGGATGGACGAGAACCGGCCGGCCATCCAAGTTACCCGCAGGTACCTGGAAACTTAGTCCTCCCGGCTTGAGGTTGAGCGGGACCTGTGCAATCACTTGGTTTGAAAGTTTCAAGTATTATTAGTATATTTTATATGAACTTTCATCCTACTGGCATTAGTTGCTAGCTATCGCACAACGCTCCCGCAACCTCAAGAGATCACAGTGCTATAGCTAGTCCTATTCATCAAAAAGAACCAAAAAGAAGCATTAGAGGCGCGCATATACTGCCCAAAAAAGGACTTACGTAGTGAGAGTAGCAGCACCCGACGTGGCCTCTGTACCAGCTTGGAAAGTAGTAAGAAACTGCGAACTGCTGAGACCTTCATTGTCGATCAAGTACTGTCGATGAACCATATTAGTATTAGGCGTCTTCTGTAGGTACTAATCACTAGTAGTAGCCTTAGACTCACATCAAAAAAGCCCATAATATCTGCACTAAAGTCAGTGATCGTCTCGCCGCTGGTAGCAGGCAAGAACGACCACACAGCATTGGCGCCATTGGAGCCGCTGTACAAGTTCCTACATGATGGAATCATAAATAAGATTTGAGAAGAGTATCTCTATCTTGTAGGCTATACGTACCACGTAAATCCCCCAATGGATAAATCGCTAGCAACAGGGATGGGTTCGCCTTCTGCATCATACTCGAATGAGATCGGACCAGATTGGTAGTTTGCCATCCAGATCATAATTTCATTGGTGGCCGTTCCCCCAGCAGTGTCCGCTGTGAAGAGGTCGTAGGTCACATCGCAGACGGGTGTTGAGGAGAAGTCAATGGTCCAGAACCATGAGCTCTGTTCAATTAAGTACACAAGTAAATAAATAAATATTCTGATGATATGCAAAAAGGGAAGCGTACTTCGATGCTGCTAATGGCACTTAGTTGTTGGTTGATCCCCGCGTTGAGCTGCATGCTGGTGAAACTCTTGATACTAGTACCACCAACCCATTCCCAAGTGGTGGTCCAGGCAACAGTGTCGCCGTCGAGCGAGGTGATAGACGCGCAGTCCGAGCCAGACGTAGCATCAGCAAGACCCCACTGGTCAAGGAAGAGCTCGTAGTTTCCATCATTGTCCGTATCCCATTGACCTAGATGTCGGTTCGGTGAGAGAGCACTGCGACGCCAAGGCGCCGGCTTACTTACCACAAAAAGACGTCTGTCTTTTCTCGATCTCAGGAGCGGGAACTGCCAGAGCGAGAGGCAGCAGAGCAAAAAGGGCAGAGAGCTTCAACGGAGAGATCATAATTCTGATTCAAGAGAAATTGTTGAAAGAGAAAGGACTGTCGAACCCTCAAGTTTGCAAAGTCTCAGACCCTTATATTGGAAACAGTATAATCGAGGTCTCTCCGATAATTAACCAAGAGGACGACTGTGACCTCGCAACCCGCTGAAGTTACCGGTAAGAGCATGGTGAAAACTCTGGTTGTGATAGTGAAGATGTGAAAAAATTTGTGGAGCGCGACCTGATGGCACTGATCTTGTACCAACGCCGGACCGAGGCGGGTGACGCGTTCCAACGCTTTCGCGTCGCGCTTTTATGGCAAATATCACTCGTTGACTCTATATAGTATGAGAGGAATGAGTTTTTCTTGACGGTACTTTGAGCAGGCAGTATTACTGGCAGTATTACTGCATACATAAACACGAACATATACATATACATGCCGTGTTATAAAAAGTCCATGATAATAATAGAAATAGACAATAATAAGCTTCATACGGAGTCACCAGATATCGGGCCTTGACCAGCTCAATAAATCCCCCACTTCATCGATGTCATACTTGGATGCCATAGGCTCCTCGACTTCCATCACCAGTAATTGAGGTGTCTCTATATAGGGTGTATCAGGAGGAGATGAATATATCGACCGGTGGTCATCAGATTCTGAGAAGAGGTGTGGGTTTTCCTCCTTCTCCTCGTATGATGTATCCTGATCATCAACGGCACGCGGTAGTGCTCTCCCGGTCTTATACGTCTCCATGCGCGCGCGGGGTGTAATGAAGTCCTCGTCGGTGAACGCTGGTAGGGATGGAGTAGGTGATGAGATTTCTGCGAATGGATTTAGGAAGAATGAAACCAAGAACTTTTGCCATTTATGCTGCAGAGGTATGAAATGGCCCCCATTATGTTCCTCCACCCTATTGAATTTGGAATGTTGCACGAAGATATGGGATCGTTCCAGAGGGACAACAATATCATTCCGCCCCACTAAGTAGAGCACCGGCGTGTTCAGGGCAAACCCAAACTCAGGCGCTGCTATAGCGGC